GAGACCATGTCTCTGCTTCTCCAACTCCTCTCAGTGTGGTCTTTTTATCCTTTGTTGTGGAGAAGCACTTCACCCAGCTTGCAGATCTTTTTCAGAGAGAAATGATCCTGATGTTGTTGTAGATCTGGTGTGTCCATGGGAGGAGGTGAGGTTAGGTTCTTCCTACACCACCATCTTGTGAAACGCCCTGCTGCTGCTTTTTTTTTTTTAACCTATGAGAAATGTCAACAGGAAATTTCTTTTTTTTTTTTTTTTTTATTTGAGAGAGAGAATGAGAGATAGAGAGCACGAGAGGGAAGAGGGTCAGAGGGAGAGGCAGGCTCCCTGCTGAGCAGGGAGCCCGATGTGGGACTCGATCCCGGGACTCCAGGATCATGACCTGAGCCGAAGGCAGTCACTTAACCAACTGAGCCACCCAGGCGCCCAGGAAATTTCTTAATATTCAAAATTCTATTGCAGATTTTCTTGGGGCATGGTATATAGATTCAAGTCTTTCTTTAACTCAGAAAAATTGTTCTTCTAATACATTAAAAAAACTTTTCTATGCCACTGAATATATGTATATATATCATATATAGAATCTCTTTTTTCTATAATTTAGTCCTAACTAGTAATTTATTTTTATAAGTTACTTTTATAAATTTTTTATTTTTTATTCTGTTCTTTTTGGTGGGTGGAGGCAGAGGGAGAGAGAGAATCTTAAACTGACATCACAGCCACGGCAGAGCCCCACCTGGGGCTCCATCTCACAACCCCTGAGATCATGACCTGAGCCAAAATCAAGGGTGTGCCACTTAACCAACTGAGCCACCCACACACCCCTGTTCTTACTGCTACTAGTGAATTCATCTCTGTAATTTTTTCCCTGAATACTACCAGCTTACTATTTTTCTTCTTTTATGATTGTATCATGTTCATTTAGTTTTTTTATCAACATTAATTTTTTTAGAACATTAGAGAACTATTTTTTAACTCTGTTTTTGAGGAACTTAATATATACAAGTAATACTTTAAAATATTATTTTTAAACATTTACCTTTATATGCATTATGTAGTCCTTGTGAACTCGTATATGTGAGAAGGTAATATATTTGGTATATATTAACACTTGATGAGAACCACTCAAATTATGATATCCCTTTATTCATTATGAAACTGTCTTTGTGAGATAACCAACTGATTCAATGCTAAATGCCTTTCACTAAGAACTTTGACTATGTTCTATCTATTCATATATTTCAAATGATCAGCACAGTGATGTTCATACCACCTATTCTTGTTTTAGTTTTAGTTCTCAGTGAAATAAATTTCGAGTTCAAATGCTGTTACTGCATGAGACAGTGTGAGGCATCCATAAAAATTACTCATCATAAAATCAACGTAACACCAGTGTTAGAAGACAGATTAGGAGTGGGTTAGTAATTGTATAAACTGATTGTTGCAGAATGGTTAGGTATAGTTTTGATGATTTTTTTCTCCCTGTATTTTTGGTGTATGTCCTCTGTTTATAGTTACACATTTGCAGGCATATTTGAGAAGCATGGATTTATAGGATTTATAACTACCTACCATGCCATCTACTTTCAGTTAACCGGTGGTTTCCTAAATGAATTGGCAAGTAGGCATATCACAGTAGTGTTTCGTTTTATTTTCTATGGCGTTAGAAATAGTTTGCTTTCAAGCAGGAAAGGAAAATCTTTGTGCCTGAAGTGGTTTTTAACAACTCTTTAAGTACCATTACTCCTATAAAGGACAAGATGTGGTTTTTTGAATAATTTAGTAGTGCTAAAATGTCACATTTTTGAGACATCTATTTTATAGCTTTCCTTGAAAAACTGAGCCAAACACCTCTCCCTGGAATTTAACAACTTGTGTCTCTAAATTCTGGGTAAACAATAGTCTTCCTCTTTGAATAAAAGTTGCCATGACAACCTGGCAGGCTTGGGCTATAGAAGTCAAACACCAAACTCCAGTCTTCAGTTTCTCAATATTTTCAAAGTTGTGACATTATTTTGGGCAGCTCTGATTTAAGTAAAAATGAACATTGTTTTCAATTAGACATATCAGTGATTGCAATTAGACAAAAATCATGTATATTTTTGCAACAATCCATTATTTGAGTATAATGATATTCTTTATGTTAACTTCAAGACTATCTCTTGATTAATTACAGAGACTTAGGAGTTAAGGGAAATACCAAAGTCATTTTAGATATGTCGATTGCAACAATTATATTGAACTCTATACTGAAAGTCTGTAATTTTGAAGAGAATATTTATTTGGTATTTATATCGTAATTTGGCAGCATCATAGACTCTGTTACATAATTCACCTAAAGAGCACATCTCTGACCTCAGTGTTGCTGAACTCTTTAGAATAATACTAGCAATAGGGAGAAAAATTAAAATTTTTATTAAACTTGTTGACTATTTCTTTCACAACCCCCTTATATGCAATTCATTGAAAAATGAAATGAATCATTGTCATTTGTAATTCAGGCTTGATGATTTCCAGCAGTTTAGATACAAGTTTCCATTCCTGCTGTGTAATTAGCTAGAATACTAGAATTGAATAGATGTTTGTTATCCAGATCTGTAAGTCTATAGAGAAGATTGCCTTACTCAATGTTGCTTAAGTTAAGTCTCTTTTGGTTGGAAGTTAGGGAAACTTGTTTGTCAGGATTCTTTTGGTGGACAATAACTCAATTCAAGGTATGTTTTAGTAATTGAAAAAATTTAATGATTCATCTAAGTGAACAAGTCCAGGATGCACTAAATGCACTGGATGAGGGAGATGGCCTTTTTGTTTGTTTGTTTGCAGAGATAATGACTTCGTATCTATCAGCGTTTGCTTTTATCCTCAGTTGGGGTTTCCTCGTGGTAGCAAAATGGTGGCAATAGTTCTAAGTCATACGCCTACCCAGCTCAGCAATTAGAATAAGGGAAATTATCTCCTTTTTATATAAACTTCTCCATGTCTCACTAATTGGTCTGTTTTAAATTATGTGCTTCTGATGCCCACGGGCTATTGTGGCCAGCGGAATGACAGGTGTCGAATGGCTTGTGCCCAATGTCGAAGAGGCTACCCACCTCACAGCTTCCATGGTGAAGCCCCCAGACAGCTGGGAGGAGTTGAAAATGTGTTGGAGACACAACCAAATGCTCGTTCCCCTCCGAGAACCCAGTCAGTCAGGGCCATAATGTTCTGGAAGGGAGTGCTAGAAAACCACTAGGATATTAATATCTCTTGGGCTGCACGAAATCTTACTCATGCTTCTTTCTTTGTGTCTCCTTTTTTCTTCTTTCGCTGAAGAACTTTTTTCACTTTCATCATGGTTACACCCATACTTTGCATGGGATACCTAGAGTTTAATTAGAGATTGGAGGTTTACCTAGGACTTTTTTTTTTTTTATATCTTACTGTTAACATGGAATCACTGTTCTCAAGGTTTATATTTAGTCATACTTTTTCTTTCAGTCATGTGGCAAAATCTATTTAGAATACTGCTTAGAAAATTCCTTTCCTTTATGTAGTCAGTTTTATATATTTCTAGCCTGATGACTTGTGAAAGGTACATGGAATTCCTGTTTTGACTAGATTTCAAGAATAATTGTATTTTATTTAATTAGCACCTCAGGAACAAATGCATCAGATGAAATTCACCCTCCAAACCTTATTATTCAAATCATATACCCTCTATTTACTAGACATTATCCTTACATATACCTGAATGTTTTAAAATATATTTTATCTAACAGACTCCTCAAATTGATAAGCACAGTTACGTTTTACGGTAAAAAAAAAAAAGTAAAATTCATTGCAACCCGAGTTAGGCAAGAATCATGTGATTTTCTGGACATTTCTCAGCAATATCCCCTTTTAAAACATTTAAATCTCTTCATTGAGTGAGAAACATGAAAATTAAAGGTTTTGTGACAGGCACTGTGGTGATAATCAATCGTGAGAATTCAAATAAAAGTAGAATTTAATAACCCAAATTATAGGGGAAAAATGTATTATTTCCATTCCTAGGATCATTAAGTGAGAGCAGGCCCTAGTTTTAAAGAAGAGAAGTTTGGATTTGTTGTCACTCAGTACTAATTATAGTTAGGTTTTCAGTAAATAGTTCCAAAAGTGACATTTTGTTTGGACGGCAATTAGATCCCTAGAATTACTGTGGTAAAAAGACTATTGTAAACAGAGTATACATTTTTCTCTTATGTTTTATTTATGTAACAATTTCCTCTAAAGAGGCTTATTTTATGTATTTTTAAATCTAATTCGCTTTCCTTAGAGGTTATTAACTCCTCTGGCTATTTTGAAGAATAGTAACATGTCTAGTTTCACAGTATCATTTTTTTGTTCGTTTTTTAAGAATTTTAGGGACACTATCTCTAGGGTGTTTTTTTTTTCTTTCCTTTTGGGGAGGACTTTTCTTTTAATAGAACTCTCTCTACAGCTCTGTCAATTATGTAAATTAGGTATATATTGACTTAAATGTTTCTTTGTTTTCCAGCCTTATTGAGGCTGGAATATGCAATTGACATAACATTGTGTAAGTTTAAAGTGTATATCCTGTTGATTTTGTACACTTATATACTGCAAAATGATTACCACCATAGCATTAGCTAACACCTCCATCACATCTCATAATTACCATTTCTTTTTTGTAGTGAGACATTTATTCTCTTAGCTACCTTATAATTACGGTATCATTAACTGTAGTCACCATGCTTTAGATTAGATCCCCAGAAGGTATTTGTCTTATAACTGGCAATTTGTACTCTTTAGCCAACATCTTCTCTTTTCCCCCTTTCCACAGCCGCTGGTACCACCATTCTACTCTGTTTTTCTATGAGTTCAGCTTTTTTAGATTCCACATGTAAGTGAGAACATACAGTATCTGTCTTTCCCTGTCTGATTTATTTCATTTAGCATAACGTCCTCAAGGCCCATCCATGCTGTCTCTGTTCTTGATGTGCATTATTCTTTTATTATAGGAGGACACAGATCACAATTACTATATATCTCGGATATATGGTCCATCTGATTCTGCCAGCCGGAGTTTGTGGGTGAACATAGACCAGATGGAAAAGGACAAAGTGAAGATTCATGGAATATTGTCCAATACTCATCGGCAAGCTGCAGTAAGTGCTTTGGCATTTTGAGGGTTTTTGTCTGCTGTGAAAACATTTTTGCTTTAATTGGTACACCAACATTGTTTGTTGTGATCACTTTTTATTACTTAATTCTACAATTGCAATATAGATTAGTAATTGCATATAAGATCTTAAAGAAAATGAAAAAGAATTATTTGGAGAAGTCACCATCAATTTAACTGATAATTAATTAAATAAATTAACCATAATTTCCCTAGTAAAATGATGTGTTGAATATTTGAAGTCGAGATTGTTCTTGGATGATTTTCAGTCGTTTTGTAATCTATGAATTTAGAGAACATTAAAAAAAACTACATGAATTTGGTATCTCCCATTTTACATGGGTTTATTAATCTCTTGATCTGAAAAAGATTTCACCAGAAACATTTATGATTCCGATAGCATATGTAGACCAAATTACGTATCTCAGTGAAGAAGTTTGACATAAAGGGAAAAAATTAAATCTGGAAGTCTCCGAACATGTTTTCAGTCTGAGTTTATAATTTACCAGCTCTGGCTTCTTAACAAGGGATGTAACTTTGTAATGAGGTGTAGTTTCTGTGTCAGTATAGTGCGGATGACACAATATTACTACTGGTCTCACTTACCTCACGTGGCCATCCGTCGTATCCTATTCCACCTGTCAGACTGCGTGCTTACGTGGATTAGCTTTTCAATCTTCACAGCATATTTTCCCTATTATTTAACTATTATTGCCATCCAGGTATTGCAGATGAGAGAACTGAGTGTTGGAAAGGTCAAGGAACCTGCCTTAAGGTTTCCAGCTAGTAAGTGATGAGACTCAGATGTTAGCCTAGGCAGCCAAGCCCACTCTCAAAATGTGTGTGTAGAATATATCCTACTTGGGGTTCCAGCAGTTTTGGATAGTCATTTTCTGATCAATGCCTGATTTAACATTTCAAAAGTTACTTAGTTTTGCTCTCATGGATAATACCAGTAATCTTACCATCAGTGAAATCATGTCTTTGCAGTTTAATAGGACTTAAAGTAAAAACACAACAACTTTAGCCTTTCAAATGCAATCACCATTATTGATTTAAAGATAGAACTAATAGAGTCAATGGCTTAAGTGATTTAAAGAGGCACGGATTTGATGACTATATCCTTGGAGAAGGGTTGGGGAGGGGGGCTGGCCATCAGAAGGGCTATCAAAACTTTTGGCCAAGAACCTTCACTGTATATATGTAGACTTCCCTCTTTCCAGGAGATCAACTCGTAACAGTTAAAATGAAAATTAATTTTAACTCACCATGAGATGATTCACTGAACTGTCAGTATGGAGCACATGTTTTCTGAGGCTGAGAAGCAAACAAAGGACCCATATCGCCTTACTGAATTCCATCATCCCTTTTCCATATTCAGGCAACCCCGGGCAAGATGACAGATTCAGAAATGATTCACTGTTGAATTTAGAACAGATTTTCAAAAGAAGAGAAAATGAGAAAGATTAGATTAGGACAATGTCTATCAGAAATTTCTTGCATTTGACAATCTTCCCACTATATTACAGTACCTAATAGTGTAAAATGCCCTTTGTGAAAGTTCAAATGTTGGGTGCATCCAATTGAAGTTTCCATAAATTGGCCCAATCGTGGTATCAGCCACTATGGATGAAATCTCTAGGCAGCGAATGAGGATTATCAGTTAAACTGTTAGCAGATTTCTTCTTACACACTTTTATCATTTCCTGTGCTTTCCCAAAAGTGCAGCAGTTTGTGTGTCTTGTCTTTCCTTGAAGAATATTTTTTCTCTTTGGAAGAGGGGTCACTTGGTTGCCATGTAACCTCAGTTCTCTGATTAGTCTCAAGGAAAATTATGATGCTGTAATGAGCCATTTTTTCTTCCTGGTAGTGTGGGAGTGATACTGTTGCTTTCAACACCAAGGATTGGCCTAAATGCAAATGCTTGAGCTCCTGCTTGTAATTTATCTGGTGTTCCTGCATAGGCTTTTAAATACTTATCATTGGTAGAAACCTTTATTTTAGCTACTCTGTCATTGTCATAGCTTGGTTTTTTGTTTTTTAACAAGAATTTTAGCCATCATCAAACGTTCCTTAAGAGTTAGAAATTGGTCCTATACCCATTTTCCCTATCACTATCAACAGAACATACACACACACACACACACTCACACACACACACACACACTCACACACACACATACACGTACACACAGATACCCCTAGGTACATGCTTCCATTTACAACAACAGAATTGATAATATTTCTTAGTTTCTTTTATTTTTTTCCTGGAAAACTTTGCCATTTAGAGTCCTTCACTTAAGTATGTTTTATATCTTGGAACTTATACATTTAGTTAATAGAATATTTTTTATAAACTTTCTACAAACATTCTTGCTTTGTTCAGTGTGACTGTTAAATATTACTCTGAGATTTCCAAATTGTAAAGAGTGATTCATGTTTTAAAATTGCCTCAGTTGGACAAACCATGAGAGACTATGGACTCTGAGAAACAAACTGAGGGTTCTAGAGCGGAGGGGGGTGGGGGGAGGGGTCAGCCTGGTGATGGGTATTAAGGAGGGCACGTACTGCATGGAGCACTGGGTGTTATATGCAAACAATGAATCATGGGACACTACATCAAAAACTAATGATGTAATGTATGCTGATTAACATAACATAATAATAACAAAAAAAATTGCCTCAGTTGGCCTCCCCACCTTTCCAGTCTTGCCTGATTCTCTTTTCCCCATTTCTATTATGCCTTTCTGGGAGCAGAATCAGGTTGATGACAGAATTCTAACGTATTATGACCAGGGGGTGCACTAGGGTCCATAAACACCCTCCTGCCTACCCGCACACAACACACACACAACCCAGGCACCACACTGCTGCTACTTTCCCCCATGATGTTACTGAGAGGCTTTAGCACAAGGGAAAATGACAAATGGGAAATGTCACATCCACTTTATTAATTAGGTTTGTTGATGTCATAAGCATCATAATCTTTGGTGCAAAGCTCTCTGGTAATTTAGCTGGAAACAGGACTTAAATTTAAGCTCTAAGGGAAGAGGGGAGTTTCTCAAATCTTATCACCCAATGATATAATTTCCATGACCAAGGACATACATTCTGTGAACAAATTAGACAAAAAAGAGAAAAGAAATATGTATCTAAGGGCAGACCCAAGGGCATTTGGCTAATCCAGCCCTGGATAAGCAGGAGGTAAATGAGAAAGCTGGCAAAGATTGTGTACCCTGAGGATGCAGCTTCCCTCCCCCTTCCAGGCTGCTTCAGAATGGCTCAGAGGAAGATAAAGGAGTGTCTGACTTGGAAGCATGATTTTTTTTTTTAAAGATTTATTTATTTATTTTTAGAGAGAATGCTCATGAGAGAGTATGCCCATGCGTGCACTCAAGTTAGGAGAGGGGCAGAGGGAGAAGGAGAGAGAGAGAGACATCCCCCTCCCCCCGCCCCCAGCACACAACCAGGTCACAGGGTTCTATCCCGGGGCTCCAAGGTAGTGACCTGAACCAAAATCAAGAGTCTGCTGCTTATCCAACTGAGCCACCCAGGCACCCCCAGCATGATTTTTTAAATAAATATTTTCCCCTCCACCCCATTATTTATAAATGTCTAAACAGCATTTTGGAGTCTTAGATTAATATTCTCATAAGAGGAAGGGAGTGGAATTGAAGTAAGAGCTTTCCCTTTTCTCCTTTCCACAATATTTTATAATTTCAGGGCAGAGGAAAACTTAGAAATCATTTGCTTCAAATGCTTCATAAGCTGAAACACATTGATTTCTTTTTCCTTTTAGAATGTAAATCATACTCATTAGTATGTATATTACATATGTGTGCTATAATTTGATTATAATCTCCCCATTGTCCTTTTTGGTTTGAATCACATTTCTTAAATCATTATTGCAAAAAAAAACCAGATGTTAAAACCTAGTTTTAACTCTGACAGATTAAAGGAGGAAGCATGTTTTCGTAGACAAAGGATAGTGAAAATTTGTCTAAGTCCCTACCATATGAGCCAGACGCTTTATATTCAAATACTAGTACTTATTTGGGTTTTTTGGCCTTTATTCAAAGTCACACAGTTGCCAGACTGCAGATCTAGAAGTTTCTGACTAGGAACCCATCCGACCTGTTTCTTTTCCTCTGTGTGGACCTTCGAATTCCACACTTTCGATATTTTCTTTTATTTTTAAAGATTTTATTTATTTATTTGAGAGAGAGAGAAAGAATGAGCAGAGGTGGAAGGGTAGAGGGGGAGAGAGAGAGAGAAAGAAGCAGACTCCCCGCTGAGCAGGGAACCCAACATGGGACTCGATCCCAGGACCCTGGGATCATGACCTGAGTCGAAGGCAGACGCTTAACCCACTGAGCCACCCAGGCGCTCCATGCTTTTGGTATTTTCTTCTGTATATCTATATCCATATTATTTACTTTGTTGCTGGGCATGAAGTTTGATTCTGCAGCCAGACAAATTAGAATTATTTTTCTTTCTGAAACCACAGCTTATGAAATTCTGATTCACAACTTCTAGAGAAGTACCACTGTCCTGGTGGAAGGAATCCAGGATCACGGAGGTCATGAAACCTTGGCTCCAAAACTCATTTTCTTGGTTTCTGGCTTCTCTGTACCTCAGTTTTATAACTTGGAAGAAAGGGGGGGAAATGCCTGCCTTGACTACCTTCTAGTGCTATTTTAAGAATAAAAATGAAATGGATAAGAAAGGATACTGAAAATATTAAATAAAAATGTGATTGTAAGGCAGTGAGATTTGAGAACCCTCATTCTTGATAATAAAAAATAACCTCCAAATAAGTTAATTCCCAAGTGCTCTCCAAGAGCCTCCAATAGATAGATTTGCATCTATGTATTTATATTGTATCTCCACTATTACTATTATTTTTTTTTGGCCAAGAAAACACCAGTGTGCTCCTGGCCAAACATAAACACACTCTTAGCTTAAAAAAAATTTACCTTTCCATCT